TATTTGAAAATTATGAACTTATTTGTGGTATTAAAAGAAAAAAAAATAAATTAAAATATATTTTAATTTTAAAATAACTAAGTTTGACATATAAAACCATGATATATCTTATAAAAACGAATATATTTTAATTAATAGACAGACAAGTAGTTAGAAAAATACAATAGAGCCTTAATAATAAGTAGACAAATGAACAGTGCAGCTTACTCTAGGTATAGTGTATTAGGGGTGATATTATTTTTTCTATGCACAACCAGTCTTCTTATCCAGTATCTATAGATAAGTTAGGTTTCTAGAGACTAAAACACTAGCTGATGACTCTAAATTTTTAAATAATAAAATGATAAGAATTCAAGACAAAACCAGCAATGCAGCGTGTCTTAGATAGGACATTTAAGAGGTGAAAGTATCTTTTCTTTTATGTAACCAGTCATATACCATAAAATTTCTATTGATCAGTTAGGGTTTCTAATGACTATAATATTAGGTGGTGACTTCTCAAACTAAACATTTTTCCCTCTAAAAATAAAATATCATATATATGTTCTTTTTTCTAGAAACATAAAAGTCATCGTCTTGTTAGGTGTGACAATAAATATGATATGATGACAATATAATAGGTACCATTATCATTCATAAATTTAATCTATTCCTTTGTACCTTAATTGACAGCTATTATCATTCATTTTCCATCCTAACTCTATAACTTATTGATAAACCTTTCATTTTTCTTGCTTTGTTAACTTATCCAATCATTTAAACCATAATTACTAAGTTAATTGTGGAGTTGAACTTCTAACTAGGAACTCAGAGAATGGTGTCTTCAACATGTTGGTAAATAAGTTAACCATCTTCTTTTTTAGCAGTGACTGATTCATCTAAGTAGCTACTCTATACTACCTCTAGGTGTCCTCCAATATAGATTCTTTGTCACTCAATTTCATAACGTGTTGGTTCATTTTGTTAGGTGTAATATCCATGTTCATCAGGTCTTTCTATCTTTTAATCTTAGTGCTATTCAACCACATATACTAACTTAAAGCAGTACCACCCAAGCTTTTCTAAAAAAAAATGGATTAGGAGTTTCTCATCACATGTGTTTTTTGTCATCTAAATTCAATACACTTTCATATTAGTTATTGGGTACTGTGTACCAATATACTTAGCAAATTTTTAACACTTTAAACTTTTTAAAGACCACTATGTTTAGAGTCAATAACATTTTAAAGGCTTTCACTAAATTATACAAATCAAATCTTTTAATTGCCTTTAATCTTTTTTAAATAGAAGACAACATATCAAAATCCTTCCCTTTTTGTATCACCTTTGCCATATGGGTTTCAACATTCAGGACTTCAGTTAGTAATGAATAAGAAAATGGAAAGGGTGTAGTAAACTAAGCCTCTAGTGAGGTGTTAATTGCCTCTAAACTTAATAGAATAAAAGATGAAGGGAGTTAGGTACAAGTTAAGCGCTAACTATAGATTGAGCAAAAGTTCTTTCTTTTGGTTTGGATCTTAAGATTTGTTCAAACAAACTAGTGAGCTTATCAATATCACCCTTCATGTTTTTCATCTCTGTTTGTTGAGCTTCCAACTATATCATTTCTTCATTTTATATGAACCATGTTTTTAAGTTTAGTATTTATGAATTTTAAGGTTTTGGCTTGTAGGGGTAGACCTATATTTTCACTTGCAAATAAAAACTAAACAAGCTTGAAAAGCAAATAAATATGAGATGTTTTTGAAAAATAAAAGATAAATTGAATATAAGTTCACCTTTCGAGAGTGATAATGGTCGTTATCTATAAATTCATGAACCTGATGTTATCATTACACTAACAAGAGAATCTATATCCGTTTTAGTTAATTTGTAATTACTTAGACTTTTATAGAATCTATTTGATAACATTTTATAGAATCTATTTAATAGCATTTTGCCACCCAAAAATCCTAGAATTTTAGATGATATATGTCGGGCTTTCTTTGATACAATTTATAGATGTACATACACTTTAAGGATATGTTCTATTTATTAAATAAGTATGAGTAGGGTTTTCTATATGGTCTTAAAAGTGTTTTAAATTTGTCTAATGATAATCCTCGCAAGGATAATATAGGGGCATTGTAACAAATAGTTAAGACATATATGCCTACCATTACAAAACAAGCACTTAAAATTGAGTTTGAGAATTTATAAGCTATAATCCTTACTAAAAATCATACGATAGATCATTAATCCCTCCACCTAACCAAAAAACATATGTGCTTCAAAAAATTAAAACATCTGATGCATGAAAACATCAATCCATATTTTATATACAATACATGAGCTTTGTGTATAAAATGCATATTGACAATAAATGCACAAACCAACCAAGCTAAAACACAACAATCAGACATACAACAAAGCTTAGGCTACAAGTAAGTCTCAAGTGGAGTATCTATTTTGTCGCACTTGTATGACATTACGACCAATCATCCTTCTAGATCAGGTTCTAGGTGTATGTTTTTTATGGATTCACATCATTTATCATCATTTAAACTAATAAGTTGAAGCTCAAACGACTTATCTTGCTGCTAAAACATAACATCTTAGTGTTGAGATTGTCGAACTCTTTAGATTATAAATAGAGTTAAAATCATAGATAAGTAATACATGTGTTTTTTTTGTTGGCCCCACAATCTCGGCAAAGACCTGTTCCCTCCTCCAAACCCTCTATTTCAAATGAATTGTATTTGAACTGGTAAACTTTAAAATTTGTAATGAATATTTTTTATTTTATTTTAATTATTTTTTATTTGTTTAATAGATTTAGAAAAAAAATATTTATTTTTAAAACATTAGTGATGCTCTTTGTTGTAACCTAATTTTAGCCCACTGACTTTTTAATTTAATTTTATAGGGTTAAGATGTAAAATTAAAAGATCATAGATTTATTTCAATAAAAGGTGTGATTTGTCAACTTGCGTAAAAACTAGGGACTACAATGTATTTTTTTCATTCTATCCTTATCTCCAAGATAAACCTCATTTTGAAGATAATCTCTATCTTCAAGATAATGATAGTTATTCACTTTCAAATTTGAATCTTAATCAAATTCAAACTTCAAAAAAAGAGAATGAGTTTGATTGAAATTTTGTTTCTCATACGCGAAAGGACTCTAGCACTATAAATACAGACCTCAGTGTATGCAAAAAAAGAAGGAGAGGACGATTAAAGAAAAACCCTAAAAAAAGAGACCTCAAGAGGAGGCCATTACCATAAACCCTAAAAGAAAGAAACATAACAAAAAAAAAAAGGGGCGATGAACCCTATACTAGTCACCGCCCCCTTCAAACCCTGTTTTTTAGCTCAGTCTCCCTCAACTTCGCCTCCAGCAACTACATACCTAGGTAAATTTCCTTCCTTGCTAAAATAATTAACTAGTTACTGTTGTCTACATGCATGAACCTTTCATGCATGGCTTATGCATGGCTGGGCTAGATCCAGCTTAGAAAGAAAAAAGAGTTGGTCGGATCTGTGCTTTAAAACTAGCCGACCCAAATTGTGTTTACTAAGGATGTGCTTAGCAAAACACACCCTTATGCCTTGACCATAATTTTCATACCCATTCTAATTTTATATTTGACCAAACGAACCTCTTTTTTATAATAGAAAATTCTAAAAATAGTTGGGGCTTTCATTGATTTATTTGCGGGCCCCTCGCACTTTTGTTTTATTTTTTTCCTTTGTGTTTATATTTTTTGTAGATGTGCTCAATATAAGGACTATCACTATTAAATGCAAATATGTCGTGTAATATTTTTTTTTATTTCCATCTAAAAAGAGAAAATAATAATAAAAGATAAACAAGAAAAAAATAACATAGAAAATTTCTTCTTCAAATTTATTTTTTGTGAAAATATTCACTAACGTTAGAGTCAGAAGTATCGTAGTTTTTTTGGATTTATGCAATATTTACTAACATCAGAGTTGGAAATATTCGTAGGAATTGTTCACTAACATTAGATTCAGGAACATAAAAGGAAGAGAAAAAGAAGGGAAAAGAAGAATAAATTCTCAGCAATTTCAGACAAAACCAACAATGCAGCCTACCTTAGGTAGGACGGTTAAGGGGGGATAGCATCTTTTCTTTTGCATAATCAGTCCCGTACCATAAAATCTTTGTTAATCAGTTAGGGTTTCTAGTAACCATAATACTAGGTAGCGACTCCTTGAATAAGACCTTTTTTTTCTAAAAAAATAAGATATCAAATATCTGTTTTTTTTCCAATCCAGATAATTTCTAATCAGTCGTCGTAATGGTCGGGTGTGACACTCTTACTGATAAATTAAGTTCATTGATATATTCTAGAGAATTAAAAATAAATTATTGCAAATGTCAATGTTACTATTTAATCACCAATTGTTTAATTCCATTAGTAATATTAAAAAAAATCATCGATGAAATTATATATAGTTTTTTTTATAGATAATATGTTATATTCATCAAGGGATATACCAATAAAATAAATCAAGTAAATTTTTTATTTCACATGTTTATTTCATCTGTAAATCTAATAATAATTATTTTACCAATAAAATTATAAATAAAAAAAAATCATGGTGAAAACTTTTTCCGGTAAATAATAATTAGATGTTAGCCCATCGGTAAAATTGGTCCTGACAAACTAAGTATCTAACAACCAATGAAATATTCACTCAGCAAATTTAAAATTTCTGGTCATGTAATTACTTTAATGATTGATTCTACCCCTCAGTAATTATCATATACATACTTGTGGTAATTTATTAGACTCTTTGAAAACTTTCAACATTCAAATATATTCAAGTTTGTACACAAGAAAACAACAAAGCTTAGCTAGGTCACGTAATTGAACTACAAGAACTGTAACAGAGAAATATAGCAGTAGATAACTATTTAATAAATAAATAAAAAGTACCATAATATTCAATGACTTCAACTGAACGACATTTACTTGAAAAGCCCAAAATTTCTATACACCAAAAAGAAAGTGTGAGAGTCCCCACCAGCTAGCCTCTCCAGCCAGCTCCCCTTTCCCTCCTCCTCTCCTCTCCTCTCCTCTCCTCTCTGCATTTATTCTCCTTAATTATTCATGACCACTTCTTCAAAAGCTGCTCTCATAACACTGCCTCTCTGAATTATAAACCCATGGAGAACCTTTCAAAAAAATTTACATTTCTCACCGCCTAAACTCTTTTGAACCAACTTATAACATTTCCCTCTTAAGCAATACATTCTAGGCAAAAACCAAGAACAAACAAGTTGGTGGGCAAGAAAATGAAGCTCCCTTTTCTCTCCAAGAATAATGCAAATACGGATCACTCATCAAGAGCTTTATGGCCTTGGCCTGCCTATTGTCAGCAACCAAGAACCCTCTCTTTCAGTTCTAGAACAAGTGGTGGAATGCTCAAGACCATTAACCCAGGTTTCTTAGATGCTACTAAAAATGATGTGGTGGACAGTACCACACCCGAGTCATGGTTCACCAACTCCTGTGAGTTAGCTAGCTTCTCAACAGCATCAGATGATCAGTCAGGAGCTGGTGAATCTATAGAGACAGTGATCAAAGGCTTGAGGTCAGAGAGGTTGTTCTTTAAACCAGGGGAGACAAACTCAATCTTGGAAGAAGCTAAGGCAGGTGGTGAGTTTCCATTTAAAGAAAGTGTTGTATTGTCAATGGAGTCTCAAGACCCTTATTTGGATTTCAAGAAGTCAATGGAGGAGATGGTTGAAGCTCATGGATTAACAGACTGGGAAGGTCTTGAAGAGCTTTTGTATTGCTACTTGAAGGTGAATGGAAAGAGCAATCATGGGTACATCATTGGTGCTTTTGTAGATTTGCTTGTTGGTCTTGCTATGGCTTCTTCTTCTTCTTCTTCTTCTTCTTCAAGTACTATCACTACTGCTAGTACTACGCAACACCATCATGATTCTCCTTCTTCTCCTTTGTCATTTTACACTTCTGCATCTTCTGATGATTCGTCTTCTACTCTTTGTTGTGTATCCTCATTAGGAAATGAAGTTGATATAACCAGTCCTTGTTTAACTTCATTACAAGCTGAAAATGAGATTAAACAATATTAATTAATAGATGATGCTTCGTAATTACTTCTTATATATAAGTTTCTGTTTCATATTTTGTTAAATTTCTGGAGGGCATTAATGTTAAAAAAAATTACATGCTCTCTCCCTCTCTCTGGTAAGGGCATGTGTAGAAAGCTTGCACGAGCCATCATGGAAAGGTACTCTTAGGGTTGATATCACTTTTCTTTCGGTGAATAGAACCACCCAAGGGATTCTAACTTGCTCTTGCTATTTATGGAAAATTATATTTGGTTATATATATATATATATATAGCACAGAACAAGCGATTTACGTTTACACATTGATATAAAACTATTTCGATCTTGAAATTACTTTACAAGATTTCTCAAAAAAAAAAAAAAAACAAGAAGTATCAATTATAAAATTACCTTACTTTTAATCCCAAGTTCACTTTCTTTCGATTAAATTAATATTTAATGTTTTAAAAAATAACAGTAAATATTGTTTTTCAAATTATTTTTTATTATTTTAAAAAAATTTATTTGAGTATATTAAAACGATTTAAAAATATTAAAAATTAATTAAAAAAGTAAAGCTTTTTAAAAACACGATTTTAACGTAAAAATAAAGCATGAATAACCTTTTAATTAATGAATTTGTTTGGGAAATGAACCACTATTATATTGAAGGAGCTTTCTTCAACGGCATTGTGTTATAAATGTTCTTGGGCTGATTTCCAGCGAGTAGCAGAGTATAATAAATGAGTAGGCATTTAAAAAGTGACCATGAGAGGTGTGATACCATGCAACATATATCATAGACACCCAAGTGTAACCACTTTGATGGAGCAAGACCGGCCATTGAAAGCTCAGACAGACGGGGTTGATGATAATTCATAGCCGTTGGTTTTAAATTAGATGGTCATTATCGATTGATAGGTACAATTCCAGCACAGAATTTTGGCGTGTTTCTTACAATCTTATCCTTGGTATCTGCAGCATTTTCGTCCCTATAATAGTAAGAACACAAATATTGAGCCTACAGCGACATGTTTTAAAATATGCTTGTGTTTCATGCTACAGCGACATGTTTTAAAATATGCTTGTATTTCATGTCTCTTCCCATGTGATTTTTCTTCTCTTGATTGAAAGCTAGTAACTCTATAATGTATTTATGCCTTTAATTCAAAACTTAAAGTTTATAAAATCCAACTAGATTCTAAAAACAATTATTGAGATTCCATGGCACTAATGTCGGTGTCTTAATGTCTGCTTGTATTTATATTTTAAAAGTGTTTTTAAAACAAGTTAAAAATTTTTTATATTTTATATTATTTTAAATTAATATTTTTTATATTTTCAGATTATTTTAACAGATATTATAATTTTTTAAAAAATATAAAATATATTTTAATGTATTTTTAATAAAAAAAAACTAATTGCTATCGTAATGTTAAACATACCTTATCATGTTCATCTATATTCCTTAATTAAATCAAAACACTCTGTTTAAAAAGAGTATTGTTAAATTAACTGAAAATAAATATAAAAAATAAATTAAATTTTTTAATAATTTATTTATTATGAATATATAGTTTTAATTTTAATATAAATAAAATATATATAAATTAAACTAAAAGTATTATTTTATTTTTAATAATTAAAATTATATAAATATTATTGATTGAAAGCTAGTAACTTTGTAATATATTTATGCCAAAAATATTTAATTCAAAACTTAAAGTTTATAAAATCCAACTATATTCTAAAAAAATTATTGAGATTCGATAGCTCTAGTGTTATACAGTTTATTTGTTTTTATATTTTAAAAGTTTTTTAAAAAAATTTAAATTTTTTTATTTTTATTTTATTTTAAATTGATATTTTTTGTATCTTCAAATATTTTAGCATATTAATATTAAAAATAATTTTAAAAAATAAAAAATATTTTAATATATATTTTTTAAAAATACTATATAAAACAACTACTATCATCATATTAAACATCCCTATTATATCGGTCTCGATTCCTTAATCAAATAAAAACACTTCGATTTAAAGAGAGTATTAATAAAGGGAAATACATGCAATTTTCATCCTAATAAATCAGCAATGAATCAAAGTGGAAGATGGTGGTCGTTTTATTAAAGACATTTACGATCTCTTGAACATGAAACATTTGTAGTTCCATTCCATATACCCATGTAGTCTGAGAATCAAATAATTGGAAATAGCTTATACTAGAAAACAAAACAAAAAAATCATGCCAGCATTTCAGTCTTGTAATGTGGCCAGATGAATTCAGATAAGAACAAATTAAAGGTTCCTCATGATTTCAAAATAACGAACAAGATTCGTCGGCATGCATGCATCCATACATACAAATCTTTTCAGGAAAATATAATGCCCACAAGATTTTGAATCCACTTTCTCTCAAGCAAACAAAATGCTGAGAGAAAAAACAAGAGGCCATAGTCGTTCTGTAACCGGTGAGGGACATCGTTATAATTATCAGTGACAGGAGGACTGGTGCCGATGGGTCCATTGAGATATAACTTGATTATAGGATCTTTCCAAATTTGATTAGGGTAGTTAATTACATGCTTAATACCTTGAAAACTTCCCCGAAAGTCTAAAACAGCCTCAGTCTTTCTTCCTTTTTTTTATGGGCAAAAAAAAATAAATAAAAAACAACTTGAATTGATTTGCACTAATTTGGGAGAATTATAAATTATTTAGCTATTCTTTATGATTGTTAATTAAAAAGGACATGTAGCCCAATACTATCATCGGGTCTTTACTAGTCTAACAACAAGAAAGGAGCGTGGACTCTTGGTTATTTCTTGACTACAGGCAGAAAATAGTAATTTCTAGCTATCTAACGAGCATTATGCTGTTGGTTGTAAAAAAAAAAAGAATTCAACACAAAAATTTAAATATATATGCTTTTTTAATGCAATTTTAAAAATAAAAATTGAAACCAAATTTTTTTTCTTTATTTATTTTTCTAGATAAGATTAAGATTTTAAACAACTATTATCAAACTTTTATTTCTAAATTGAATCTATTGACACAAAAAACAAAGATTTTCATTGCTGAAAAGTGACCAAACCTACAATATTTTCTCTTCTTATCATTTTCTGGTCACTTTCTCTTATCTCTTTCTAATTTTGAAATTCAAATGTTAGCAATATAAGATTCTGAACTAAAATAAGAATATTTAAAAAATATAGAGATTGCGAAAAAAGAAAATAAAATGTATGAGGATGAAAAAGAACTTTTCTCTGAATTTAGATTTGTCGTTAGTTTTCTTTTTATTTTACATTTTGATCCCATTTGTTTCAACTTTGTCCCTCATTGAAAACAAATTGGTCATGAGTTTGGGTATAAAAGGCTATAATTGAAGAAATAAAAAAGTTTAAAGACAAAAATAAAAAATATATAAATTTAGAATTTTGGATTGTTACCGTGAAAATCCCATATCTTACAGTATTTATTGTAATTACAGACTGTGGAAGCATTTTGCTTCTTAGTTAGATCAGGACTTCAAGTACAATTTCCCTAGAAATCACTTAGAAGCAATCGTTCAACTTTGATCAAATGCGCAAACAGGTTGCTTAACTTTCATGTTACCAGCAATTGATAATGTTAAGTGTGTAGTTCTAATCAACTTTAAGTTGTTTAAGAAGAGTTCATGGAGGGTGAGCTTGACTCGTCTCTTTGTACAGTACTGACTACAAAACATTTCTTTAAGCAAACTATTTTAACCTATCTCTGATAGATTTCCAATGCATGCTTAATCACATGCTCCTATTTAGAGCTGATGTTAAGTTCTTGCCTCGGTGCTGAAGCTTCTAATCCTTGTGTCATGGCTATTGAAACATAATTTCACGACAATCAACGTGGAGATAATGCTAATTTAATGTTGGAAGGGTTAGGTTTTACATTAATAATAATCTGACGATTCTAATACAGTTTGTAATATTGCTCGCAAGATGCAATATACATATATTTATTTACTAGTGTGTGTTTGTTCTTCTATTTGCAGAGTCTAGCAATAGGATTTATCCCAAATGGATTCAAAACTTCTTGCCTTGTTTTCTCCCTGAAGTTTCGAAATCATATATTAATAAGATCGCAGATCTCGAGGAAAAGTTTGCATTACCTATTGGAAATGTTGTTCATAGAGTCAAGTTCCTCCAAATGATTCGTTAAGAATTTAATATATATGAATTAATTGCTCAAAATCCTATATGCAGGCGCGCGTATAATTTTTTTTTAGATTTACAACTCATATATATTTTAATTAATTTTATAAATAAGAGTAGAGTTATAATTTTTTTCTATTATGGACTATTAAATAAATATATAATTTTTTTAAGGTTAATTATTAACTCATGTATATGATTTTTTAAAGTTAATGGGAACATTTTAATTCAAATACACTATCTAAAATATTAAAAAATAAATTTAAAAGTATATAAAATTAAAGTGAAAGTAAAAATAAACTTACTATTGAAGTTACATCCTTTGATATTTTGTGTAATATAATTCATTTGTAATTGAGTCAGAATTGATATTGTAACAATTTTTTAACCGGGATAAAATAACAATCTCATATCAATTAAAAAACAAGGTAATTAAATTTTTTCTCTCTTTCAATTTCTTCTTCCTTTACTTGATTCTTCCTTATATTAGTGTTTTATAAAATTGGACTTTATAAGTTTACAAGATTATTCTTTCACTTTTTTTCTCTTTGATTTTTTTATATTTTTTCTTTACTTTTCTCTCTTTCTCTCTTGCCTTTTATTTTTTTTCTCTATTATTCTTTTGCCTAGTCTAAAGCAGATAAAAGAAAATAAAAACTTTTTTTTTTTTTTTTAATAGTAAATAATCATTTTATTTTTAATAAGTTGTTTTGTTTTTATTTGATGGTCTTTTTTTTAGAGAACTTCTAAGCTCATCCTAAAATTTTAACTAGATTTTATTCAATATATTTTAAAATCACTTGTAAAATTTGAGTTCAATCTAATGGTTGGATTAAAAATTACATTTA